AAAAAATAAATAAAAAAAATAATAATAATAATAAAAAAAGAACATCTGCCTTTGTCAGACCCCAGTAAGGTCCCTCTTTATTGGGGGAGAGGGGTGCTGGTTATTAGGAGGAATAAAAATGTGGTATTAGATCACGGTGATGGTTGTACAACTTTGTGAACATATTAAAAGCACTGAACTCAATGAGAGGGATACATTCTGAGAAATGGAGTGTTAGGCGATTTTGTCATTGTGCTAAGATTACAGATTATACTTCTACAAACTTAAGACAGCTATGACTTCACTAGGCAATATAATCTTATGGGACCCCATCATATATACAGTCCATCAATGACCAATACATTATGTAGCTCATAATATTTGAAAGGAATACAGTTCCTAACAGTACAGGTCAGTGAAGAACAGCTTTGACATGAGGGGGCAGGGAGAGAAGGGGAAAGGTCCCCAGCTTTTCAGAGAGGAGCTCTAAGCACAAGGCCTCAGGTCCCTGGGAACTGCCTCTGATGTTCTGTTCCGCTCCCAAATATTCATTATTCACTGCAGAGTACAATGCAATTGATCCAAGGCCAAAGGCAGGCCAATGGGCAGCAGCCTGCCTGCCTCTACAGGGTCCCTTGGAGGCTAACAACAGGATACACACCTCCTGGCTACAGCCACTGCTGCAAGGCCTTTGGGCAAACTCGATTCTCTAGTTGAAACTGTCCTACGCACTGCAACTAGGGGTGCCAGCTGGGCACGGATGGTCTCTTCTGCTTCTGAAAGTACCTGTCAGCAGATAAATTTGCGTGGAAGAAAACCAAAGAGAAGGAAGCAGGATGATGAAGCTTGAGATCCACAGGGATAACCAGCCTGGTTGGCCCTCGAGGGCTCTCCTGGAGACAGTACAGACACTGGGGGATGAAGCAGAAAGGTGACAGAGGACAAGCCCAGAGGGACTTCCTGACAGTAGTTTCCCGAGGGTCTGCCAGAGTAGTAGCTCTTAAACATTTTGAACTCAGGACTCACACTTGATAACTAAGGACCTCAAATAGATTTTGATTCTGTGGGTTGTATCCATCAATATCATACTAGAAATAAAAAATGAGGAATATTAAAAAATTAATTCAGGATCTGGAGATGTAGCTCAGTGGTAAAGGGCTTGTCTAGCATGTGCAAGGACCTGAGTTCAACCCTCAATAACACCGAAAAAGAGGAAAGGAAAAAAATCACATTGTTGGTCCCACCACCAGTGTCATCAGAAAAGTTTAAATATCACACTGTGAAGTGGACTGTGGTAGAGCACTTGCCTAACATGTGAAAGGCCTGGGTTCCATTTTTAGCACTGCAAAAACAAAAAAAGGTTCTGACCCCCAGCCAAGAGGTCTCAGGAAGCCCCCTCAAGACTGCAGATCACATTTTGAAAATAGCCCACTAGAATGTAAGTGAGTATAATACTAACTACCTACGGCACAGTCAGGGCTCCTAGCCAGAGGGACCAACAGTGGCCTTGAGGTCCCTTTTGGGGAGGCTGAACCTGTTGTTGTTCTACCTGGGCCATACTCCAGGGAGGTGCTTGCTGCCACCCAGAGACTTCAGAAGCCAGCCATCAAGACATGGGTCTAGATCAACCAGATCAAATCCAGCTCAACGACTTTCAAGCTGTGTGACCTGTGAGCCTCAGTTTCCTCATCATCTGTCTACCTCTCAGGGTAACAATGTTTAAAAGAAAGTGTGCAAGCTAGGCATGATGGCACATGTTTGAAATCCCAGAACTGTGAGGCTGAGGCAGGGGACTTGCTGTGAGTTTGAGGCCAGCCTGGGCTACACAGTAAGTTCAAGGCCAGCCTTGACTACATAGCAAGACCCTGCCTCAAAAAACAAACAAACAAAAATGTGCAGAACTCCTGGGCCAGGGATTTAGCTCAGTGGTGCCGCCACCTGCCTTGATCCCCAGTTCAAAAACAAAAACAAAAACAAACTGTGCAGAACTCCCATTGCAAGAGCACAGGGCTGGTACACAAGAACACTAACCAAATGGAGCCAGCTACTATTATGAATGATGGCCACCAGCCACCAATGGCTCTTCCCTGGGGCAAATCTGGTCCCAAACAAGGACGACCAGCTTCAATTGCAGGAGTCATTTGGCTCAGCTCCAGTGTCCCTGCAAGACTGTCTGTTCCCAGCACATCTGAGGCCACACCTTCTATAGACAACTCTTTGCAAAGGCAGAGGCACTAGCAATCCCCAAACAGCCAACTCTCCTGTCAAACTATTTTTCTTGGACTTGTGGGACCTGGCTGGAGGTCAGCAATGCCCCGGGGAAGGCCTCTACCTAAGTTGTGGTGGTAGGGAGGCCAGGCAGCAGCTGCTGCAGAGCAGCCTTTCCCAGGACTTGGCTGGTTGCTGTTGCCTCCCTACATGACCTCTTTCTTTTTTTTTTTTTTTTGGTACCAGGGATTGAACTCAGTACCTTGCGCTTGCAAGGCAGGTGGTGGAACCACTGAGCTAAATCTCCGGCCATGAGCTTCTTCTTGAGGCAGCCCTGGCACCAGGACACCAGCTGGCCCCAATGGGGGTCCTTGGTCCCCAGGAGGCAGGTCCCAGGTGTCTGGCTAGGAGCAGGGCTTTCTGCTTTGCTGGGGAAACTAAAAGGCAGCAGTCAGACTTCCCCACAGCCTCCCATCTATTGAACAGAGGCATCCATTCAGACATGGGTAAGGTGGCCATGTGGCACAACGGGTCATGGTGAAAGGCAATTACCTGTAGATGGCCTCTGACTCCCTGAGCACCACATGTAGCTGTTCTCTGTCTGGTTCTCCCAAGCAACCCTGGGATAAGCTTATGTATAATCTGTGCAGTGGCCACTTAAAGGAGCCCCTGGGAAAGGTAAAGTGGGCGGGGCAGTGCTTCCTCTTAAGACACTGGGGCCATTGTCCCTGGCTGCCAAGTCAAAGGACTGGCAGGACTTGGGAGAGGGCTTTTTTTTTTTCTGGTACCGGGAACCAAACTCAGGACCTTGCATTTTCAAGGCAGGTGTGGCGCCACTGAGCTAAATCCCCAGCCCTTATTTTGCGGGGGTAGGTGTGTGTGTGTGGGGGGTGATGCTGATTGTGGCCCATGTTCCATTTTCCTCACGATGCAGCAGCAGTATGAGACAGTGCCTCCTCAGACAGCATCACTGGTGGCACTAAAACATTTCTTTATTTTTGTACCTGAACTTAAGTGTATCTGGTGCTTGGAAATTCTAAACACATTAAGACACAGAAAGCAAAGTGCAAGGACCCAAGTTCGATCTCCGGTACCAAAAAAAAAAAAAAAAAAAAAAAGACACAGAAAGCAGAATTGGCTTTCCCATCTGTCTGGCCTCCTCCCACCCTGTCCAGCATGTGCCTGTCTCCTGATTAGTGTTCCATCTCAACAGAGCCAAAACACCAGCCTAATTCATCCCCTCCCCACTACCAGGAGACCAGAGCTGTGTACTACAGATGGAGCTGCAAGGGCACAACTGGGGCCCAGGCACTAGGTCCTGGCCATCTGACTTTTCAGACTTTTCTCATCTGCAAAATGGCAGCAATAGTCCTGCCCCAGAGCTGTAATGAGCCATAAAGGGTCATGTATGAAGAACACACAGCTCAAAGCCTCAAAAGTAGTATTCAATAAATAAAAATAACTTTGTTATTTGTATCTATGGAGGCACAACCAGAGCATGAGAAAGTACAAAAGAAAAAAAGAATACACTAGTTTCTATTAAGCTGAAGAAAAACTAAAAGGGAGACGAGAATAATGGTTTCTGGGTTTTCTCTTTGTTTTGCAGTATTGGGTAGAAGCCAGGGAGTGCTGAGCTACATCCTCAGCTCTTCTGTCTTTTTTTAAATTTTGGGACAAGGTCTTGCTAAATTGCCCAGGCTGGTCTTAAACTTGCATCCTCTTGGTTCAGTCTCCCTAGTAGCAGATAGTACGGGTATACACCAAGCATGCCTGGCCCAGGACTAATGGTTCTAAATTTATTTCTTTTTATTTTTTTGGTACCGGGGATTGAACTCGGGTCCTTGAGCTCGCGCAGCAGGCAGCAAAACCACTGAGCTAAATCCCTGGACCTAATGGTTCTAAATTTTAAAATAGTAAGATTTTGGGGCCAGGGATTTAGCTTAGTGGTTCCACTGCCTGCCTCGCAAGTGCAAGGTCCCGAGTTCGATCCCCTGTACCAAAAAAAAAAAAGTAAGATTTCTAGGAACTATGATGACAATTATCACTGTACAATTTGCATCAGGCTGAATTCTTGTCAAAGCTCTTGACAAACCGTTATGCTTTCACTCCCTGAGATCCAGTGTCAAATGGAGGAGCCACAGCAAATCAGGTTAGTCCCACTTTTCTGGAGGACAGCTGTGTAACACATTCTTTTGATTTATTAATGCTATTTCAAGGTATTTACCCTGGAGATAAAATGGACATGTGAGCAACGATTCCTGTGCAAAGGTGTTTATGTGCATCACTGTGTTGATGCCAACAGGACAGTTAAACCCACCTGGTCTATCGGTGCAGTATAATTGTATCCATTCCCTGAAAATGCCATAGAGATACTTTTTACTGACATGGAAAGATGGCCTTGACACAGCACTGAATAAAAGAAAGATATAAAAGCAGTATGTGTAGCATGATTCTACTTTAGTTTTCTTAGGGTAGTGAGATTTTGGGTTGTTTATAGATAAACACAAATACAGAAGCTCTTTCCTTTGTGTAGTCTCTAGTTTTCTATGATCAGCAATTCCTTTGACTGACTCCTTTCCCAAAATGCTCATTATAATTAAGATAAGTTTATGTTAGTCCTCAACCCACAAAGATGCCTCAGACTACAATCTAGTCTACAGGAAAAAATGCTCAATGAAACAAGCCCAAGGGCTGGCTGTCCAGCAGTTCTCCCTCTCAGAAGTCTGTGTAATCCCAGCACTTGGGAAGCTGAGGCAGGAGGTATAGGCCTACACAAGGTATACGCCACCCTGAGCTATGCAGTGAGTTCAAGGCCAGCCTGAACTATATAGCGAGACCTTATCTTAAAAAAAAAAATCAGGGGCCGGGGATTTAGCTCAGTGGTTTTGCCACCTGCTGCGCAAACGCAAGAACCCAAGTTCGATCCCCGGTACCAAAAACAAACAAAAAAAAATCAGTGTAAGTAGCCATAATGCCTTTATCCAAGTCTCACTTGAGATCAGTAGCATGAATCCTGTCTCCCTACCAAATCACCTTGAGGTGCTCCAGGCAAATTGAAGATACATACCTGTCAAGTCACACTAGCCTCAAAGACTCTACCTGGAGAGCTAGTAGGAGGTCACCAGCAGAAGAGGGCAGGTAAGCAAATCCTCATGGGACACCTGATACAACCAAGAGTGATGAGGTTACTGTGCTTGCTGAGGCCATGGCTGGAGCCACCTGGAAATACAGCCCACCTTCAGCATGCTGAGCTGCCTCTGTGCTCAGGAGCTTGTTTCTGCATGTTTTGCTGTTGGTGCAGAACACAAGGAAGTAAAAAAAGAGGGGAAATGGGGCCAAAAGCCAGGAAAACAGCTACAGCTGCAACCACAACTAGTGAATAAACAAGTCATCAGCACCTGTTGCATAGGCAGGCTATGGTAACTGAGAGCCACCTAATTTTAGAAACATCATGAGCCTAAAGAACTATCACTTAAGCAATCAAAATGGAGCCCTAAAAAAAAAAATCTTATCTCTGTATGCACTGAGCTGATTCAAATGGATGGTCTTTGGTTTACTATTTAACCAGCTGTGGCCGGTGAGATCAAGATATAACCATCCTGATCTACAAAAAAACCACAAGCCCCTTACATGCAGTCATGCCATGTAGCCATGACAGTCATGGCCACCAAGCATGAGTCATGAGTCTTAATTGGGACACAAATGCCTCCTGGTTCTGCACACCCAGGGAGAAGGGCTCTGCCTGCAGAGGTCTTGCCCAGTCTCCCCATTCTGTTGGAGGAAGCAACCCCTAGGCTTACCTTTCTTCCCCGAAATACTTTAGTCACTATATATACCTGAATACTACAGCCCCCTACCAACTTTCCCTCAGAACAGTAAGGGGACCTCATCTTTGCAACACTTGAGATCACCCATATGACAGGGCATTCCTTCAATTACTTTGAAGAAAGTTCTGCTGAGTGAAGAACATAAGCTGCAGTGACCTACATCAGTGCTAGTGTGGGACACTTACAGAGGTCATAGGTGGAATCAGTAAACTAAAACAAAAATAACACAAAACCCAACATGGAACAGATTAATAACTTCCTGGGCACTTGTTGGATGTTGCTGTAAACAGCTTTTTCAAGAACACTTTAAAAGCACATAGTAAACTGTACTATAGGAATATAAAGAAAACCTGAATGTGACCAGTCCTGGGGCAGTGGAACCACCCTGTGGCTTGGGACCTTCAGACAGATAGTAACTTCATGTGGGAAGCAAATTTTTTTTTTCCTGGTACTGGAAATTGAACTCAGAACCTTGTGCTTGCCAGGCAGGTGCCACTGAGCTACATGCCTGGCCCCTAGAAGCAAATGTAATTAGTACTTTACGTGCATTATATGAACTGGGTGTGGCGGTGCACGCCTGTAATCCCAGCACTCAGGAGGATGGCTGTGAGTTCCAGGCCAACTTCAAGGCCAGCCTGCACTACAAAGGGAGACCTTTCTCCAAACAAACAAACATGCACTATATGAAATAGTATATGGGAGCTTAAATTCCTACACTGGAAGTTGACACTAGATCCTAAGAGTTCACTGACTTCAGTTGGGACAGAACTGTTTTGGGTTTTCTCCTTGGGAAAGTGAGAATACCTGTTATGTTTGAGGGTGCCATATTTGGCCATGTGTAGATTTCACTAGGAGACATGTCTTTCAGGGCTGGAAAAGCCATATAAAAACGACTAAGGCCAGGGATTTAGCTCTGTGGTGCCGTGCCTGCCTCGCGCCTGAGTTTGATCCCCTGTACCAAAAATAAATAAATAAAATGACTAGGTTTGAAGTCTCAGCTGACATTCATTTAGGCGTCAAACTTTTATTGAGCACCCATTAAATGCAGATGCCACGTGAAGTGCTGGGAGATCATGGTATGTGAGACGAACAGCATCACAGACTGGGGAGCAGGCTCTGAGGAGTGACATGGCTATCTGAGCTGGTCAGAGATGACAGAGGCAAGACAGGACCTCAATTGTCATGACTCCTTCCACAGCACTGTCAGCCTTTACTTTGCCACATCTTCTCCAAAATGTTATTCAAAATCCTTGAGTAGGGTCTTATGGTCCCAGGGAATTCTGTCCTATTCATTTAGTGTAGATGGGTTTCATGGTATCCAAAACAAAAAGCTGAATTAGTGCTGCCCAGCCCCTGGCTTACCCTGTGATAGAGCAGGACTGGGAAGGGAAATAGGACACAGAATATGCTATCTCCTGGGGCTGTCATCCTTCCATACCTCCCACAACTCACAGGCCATTCAAGGACTTTAAATGGCAGTTTGACCCCATGAGATCTTTCCTCGACCAGCTGACTTGAGAACCTAAGCTAATGACTCTGCACATGAGAATCCAACTGTGGACTGAAACTCGTATCCCAGCATTTCAGGGAAGGCAGTGTGCATACACTGTAGCCCCTGTGCCTTGCAAGCTAACCAGCTATCAGGAAAAATAAGACAGCAAAAATGCAGAAACAGTATGTGATTTTATTCACGCAGCATCCACCAAGTGTCAGGCCCTTTCCTAGGCAATATACGTGGAGGGATAGCTATCTCAATGGAACTTTAATGGGGGGAGGGTGTTGTAAAACACAAAAATATAGAGACTACCATACAGTGATTTGTGCTATGGAAAAACAAAAAACAGAAGAGTGCTGAGGAGCTGCAATTCTAAACAGAGAAGGCTTCATCAAGCAGGGAACATTTTGGCACAAGTCTGAGGAGGTGGGTCATGTGCAAATTGTAGGGAAAAGGTCCAGGGAAAGAGAAATTAACTGCAAAGGCCCAGCCAAAGCAGCTAAGCAGGGGTGGGGTGGGGGTGGGGGTGGGGGTGGGGGTAGGGGAGCTGAGGGTGAGGTGGGAGGGCTAGGTCCCCTGGCCATTGCAAGATGCCCAATTTTACTGAGTAAGCTGAGGGGTTTCTAGAGGGAACGGGGAAATCAGGTTGTCTTTCACAAGTCTCTAATTCCTAAACTCTGTGTGTTGTACTAATACGGATTTCCCAACCCCCTGATATCAAACAGATGGCTGCTAGAGACAGGAATCTTAGAGTATTTGGCCACCATCTCTAGCAGGTACAGTTCCTTTTTGGCCAGTTTGGCTGGGGTCACAGAGAAATGGGTAATGGTGTGGCTACTCTCCAGGCAAAGCAGGCAGACAGACACAGACATGAAGTTTGACCACAATGGGGGATGAAAAATAAGGCCTAAGCCTTGAGGGACACAGAATGCTGAGAAATGGTCATTTCAGGCACTGAGCAGAACGGGATTCTTCAGGTTTGAAATGAGCCAGTTCTATTCAAAGACCCATCACTATACATATTTCTTCTTCCAAGTGACTACCTGTTTGAAGAGTTAAGGCTCATGACTCCTTAATTTGGCCAACAATTCACTGGACCCTCTAGATCAGTGGTGGCACACATGCCGCAGTGGGCTATTATCATTGAAAGCTGTAAAAGGTTCACTATCACTGCTCTAGATCATTCACCTCATAGTCCTTACCCTCAGGAAGCTACAGATCCACCTGGGAAACCAAGTCACCCTTGAGAATTTATAAAATATACTCAGGTACTCCAGCTGCAAGATGGGAGATGTGTGAAGTAGGACTGGGATGGCTTCTGGGCCTTCCAGGAAGGTGGGCAGGAAACTCCAGGTCCAGAGTATTAGTCACTGGCAGCAGGGGAATTTGAAAGTTGTTTTCAATGGTCCAGTTTGCCAGCCAGACCTATAGTACCTGAGGGTTAGAAACAGTGTTTGAGAATAGTTTCCCCATAGCACGTGGCAGTACCTGAAATATATGGGCTGAGAGGATGACACCACAGCTCGGCTGACAGTCCTGGACAAGGATTCCCCATCTTAAATGATACCTCAGTCACCAAACAGAATAGTAGAAACGGGGCTGCAGGTTTTTCTTTTCCCTTTAAACTTTGGCTAGTTGGCAAGTCCTTCTAACTCTGTTTCAAAAAGTGCTCAGAACCACATATTTCATCTGATGGTCAAGATTTAAAGGAAAAGTCTGGGCTCAACCCTATATCCTAGACCTACCACAGTCCACTCCAGCTCTACCACACTATACCTTACACTTCTCCAAATCTGTACATGTCTGGTGAATAAATGAGTCCATAAGATTTGGGGTTAACCTTAATAGACTTCCTATGCTGTCCCTAACCCAAATGCCCACTACCCAAAGTCCCCAGGCCACAGCACAGCTACAGATAAGATGGATTCGACCAGCTTCCTTCTGAAAGTGCCTTTGTTTTTGGCCAAAAGTCAAAACAGCAAAAACCATCACGTCTTGAATCATTATCAATTCCATGGGGGCAGTAATCACAGTGGGACTGGGAGAGCCCACATTTGCTTTGTCCTCTCTCCCTTCAACACCCACTGTTTCAGGGGAGTGGGGTATGCAGCCCTTCTCTGCCATTATTTGGCAACCTCAAGCAAGTCACTTAGAAACTCTGGCTGTTTCGTTAGATGTGTTTACCATGCCTATGCTACTCCTTAGATGACAAGTGAGAAATGGACCAATAGGAACCATACACATATAAGGCCCCACACTGCTCACAAATCTTATTCCTTCAGTTTCCCCAACTGTTAAGGCTGTTGTACTTAATGTCAGATGGAACTGTTGACAACTGTTCACATTCTTCCTGAAGGAATAAAGGGTTACAATTTTCAAACCACTGATGGCAACTTTCACACTTTTCTCTACCCACTCCCACCTGCTCTACCCTTTTCTTCTTGCAAAAAAACCCTAGATACTGCAACTAGACCTGAATTAACATTTATTGAACACATCATGTACCAGGTATATTCAGTTTTTACTGAAACCTTGTGACATCTTGTTGCAATAAGAATTGACAGTGAGGGATCACTCAATGGACAGACCAAATGGGGGTTCACAGCATCAACAAATCAGAATACAGAAAAGATGACTAGAAGGAAAAAAAAACAGTATTACCAAAAACCACATCATAACTGGCTTTCACAGAAAATATGTTGTTGGACTTCTTTACCCTGTATTGGATGGTTTTGTATTCTTTTTATTTTGTCTAACACCAGGGAATCCTCACCTTTTCAGTGCTTACAGTGAGTACAGGTCTTCTTCATCTGGCCTGGGTGTTTCTTTCCATCTACCACAGATGCAGTGAGCGAAGCTCTGGAAAGGCAAGTGACTTGTCCACACAGCTTCAAAGTCACAAGGAAGGGCCTCCAATGTGGTCTGCTGATTCAAAGTCTAGGCAGTACTGGTCCCAGGACCCCATCATTATCACTAGAGGGCTGATGACTCACAGGCAGTGGGCAGACCCAGTAGGCTCAGAGGCTCAGGAACTGGACAGACCAGCATCTCCAAAGGTGGATGCCCCCTGAGGGCTGTGTGGCCAGTTCCTGGCCTGGTTCACTTTCTCCTCTGTGATACTGTATTACAATGCAGCCTCCACTATCTCCTAAAGAGATGGTGTTTGAGAGAATCCTGATAGGGTGCAGATGGAGACAGAAGCCTTTTGTACCGTCTAAAAGTGGGCACATTTCCATTCTGTGGAGTCTAATTCCAAGTTCCCTCATGGGATAAGAAACCTCCCCTCACTACTGCCAATCTGGCTCTCATCCTCTCTTCCCTCTAGGAAGAGCCAAGGTCCTCCACAGAATCCCCCTACCTGCTGCCTTCTCACCAGCACATTCTTCAGATACAAGTCATAGACATCAATACAAAATGCCATGATTTTACCACACTTCCCTGTGTTCTCGATGAATAAAATATGGCCTTGCACTTTAAAACAGTGTTTATGAAAGCAGAGAAGACTTTTCACAGGGCCTGTCTCTTCTCTTCCTCTTAACCAAACCAGGTGAGGGAATGGTGTTTGCGGCTATGGAACTAAGTACCTCGGCTTAAAAGGGACTCAAGCTATGACTTCTAATTCATCAGTATTGTGAGCTTGCCAAATGTGCTCCTCACCCTGTTCTTCCAGAGTTCAGAAAACACACACCAGCTGGGCATGGTGGCACATGCCTATAACCCCAGCACTTGGGAGGCTGAGACAGGAAGATTGCTGTGAGTTTGAGGCCAGCCTGGGCTACACAGTGAGTTCAAGGTGAGCCTGAACTACACAGTGAAACTCTATCTCAAAAAACAAAAACAAAAACTCACAACAAACAAACAAACAAAAAGAAAACACACACCAAACCAGTAGGTACCAGTAGGTACCAGTAGGTACCAACTGGGCAAGCGTAGTGTATGAAGAATCAAGAGAACCTGCAAGTAGACAACTCTAATTATTGCCAACATGATCTGCTGGGGGAAAATGGCCTTTGGGACGTGTTCCATTCGTTCTCTCTCTCTTCTTCAAAACAGTTTTGGTCCCTGAAGTATTCTTCACACATTTTGTGTTTCTGCTTTTAGGGATGATTCTAGAACATGGCCAGCTGTTTTTAAATCACTGTAAGAACAGATGTGAAGGTCTTTCCTGCTTCCATAGACCCATCCCCCTTCAAATCCCTTCAGCTTGTCAAGGCTGGGAGGCAGACAGACTTTCAAATACCCAGAGCCTTTGTCAGTTAAAAATCAGAATTCAAAGACTCTAGGTAATGATATACATGCTTAACTATTTGGGAAGGAAACAGTGATATCTGCAACTTACTTTGGCATCCATAAACATAAAAATGGACTGCTTGGTAGACAGATATGTGATAAAGATGTGACATGTTAACTAAGAATCTTAGGTGATGGTCCGTGGGCATACATTGTAAAATTCCTTCAACTCTCCTGTATACTTAAAATTTTTCCTAATTAAATCTGGGAGTGGGAGGTTCTTCTGAAATGGTGACTGAAAATACCTTTCCCATTAAAAGCTGAGGGCAAACAGCGGACACACCTCTCCCCACCCAATTCAGGTGAGCTCCAAAGAAAGAAACAAAGTACCAAGGAGAATGAGCAGTCCTATTTGCCTAGGAAGGCCCTGCTCACATCAGGCCCCAAAATACATACAAAACTGATACAAATGCTACCGAACGCCCCCTCTCCAGGGCCTTTAATCCTCACTTTTCGACAGAGGTTCTTAGGCCCAAGTGTGCTGAGAATTATCTAGACAGCTTATTAAATACAGATTCCTGAGCTGCAGTCCGTAACTAGTGATTCAGAGCCTGACGGGTGGAGGTGAGCCCCTAGAATCTGTCTTTTTAACAAGAGCTCCAGGTCGTTCTGACGCAGAGGATCCTCGGCCACTCACTCCATCTTCCTGACACCTGTTGAGAGGCCCCTGAGAACCCACCCTCCGCGACGTCCTGGATGGTGTGAGACCTGGTCGTCTGCCGCCTCTCCAACCCGCCTGTGGGAGCGTGGAGCAGAGCCACGTCCTGATCTGCACGCGACTGAGAGCCGGGCGGGGGAGGGACAGACAGTACGGCGGGCTCCTGCGGGACCGCCAAGGTCACCTGCAGGGCCACTCGGCGCAGCGACCCTCCTTTCCACCACCCCCCCCTTTCTTGAAGAAGAAAGCGTTCGCCCTTCCTCTCCCTTCCCCTCATTTACTGCGGCAAAATGACACAATCTTCTCTTACATAAAACTTGGAGAGGCATGGGAGGGACCGCGCTCTAGGCCGGGCCCTCGGAACCGATAACCCTGTGACTCAAGACCCCAGCATGGGAAGCTGTCGCCGCAGCCCCGCAACCACAACCACACTAATCCCCCGGGCTACCCTGGATCCCGCAGCATCTCGGAAGGGGGACGGGCTGGCCTCGTCGCCCCGACACTGTTTACCTCAGAAAACAGGCACACGAGACCGGCCCGCAGGACACAGAGACGAGCCCAGCTCCTGCCTTAGAGCTTGAGACCCCTCACCCGGGGAGTTCTGCGCGCACACAGCCCCCGCGCGCCCAAAGGCCACTGGGATTTGTAGTCCTCCCGCGTGCCCAAAGGCCTGTAGGATTTGTATTCAGCCAGTTCGTCTTCGGCGAGCCCTGAAGCAAGGGGCCTACAGAAACCGGCATGCACCGCGCGGTGCTGTGGGCGGGGGCGGGGCCCGACGCCGAGGAGATTTCCCACCTAAGGGGGCGCGAGGCCCAGCCCCCCTCCGATGGGGGTGCAGGTGGGGGTTCCCACGGGAAGCCATCCAAGAGTGCGCAGAGGCGACTCACCGTACCCGCAACCCCTCACCCGCGGCGGGAGCAGCAGCAGGAGAGACTGCCTCAGCAGCTGGCCGTCGCGTCCCGTCAGAGGAGGCGGATAAGCTTTGGAGAAAGGCCCAAGACCCTGACGTCTCGGCGAGGAGGCGTAGCCTTGTGTGACACGTGATGATCTGGGTGACGTCACCGAGGGCTGAGTCGCGTTGAGGTTTAAACTCCTGGCCGGGGGTGGGGGTGGGGGTGGGGGTGGGGGTTCTCGGCTTGTTTGCGGAGTGAAAGGCTGGAGAACCTAAAAAGGGCCCTGTGAGGCCCTCTGGCGGCAGTTAGGCAGGGGTCGGAGCAGCTCGCGCCTTCCTCGCTCCTGGGCTGCCTTTTGTGCCTTTGTTCTACGAATGTTTATCCAGTTAAAAAGCCCTCTTACTACCCGCCAGGCGTGGTGCACGCCTGTAATCCCAGCACTCGGGAGGCTGAGGCAGGAGGATCGCCACGAGTTCGAGGCCAGCCTAGGCCACATAGTGAGTGCAAGGCCAGCCTGACCTACGTAGTGAGATTCTGGCTCAAAAAACAAACAAAAAGCCATGAACTACCCAATCGCTATCCCTTCACTCCAACAGACAATATACACTATAAATAAATCACAAAAACACCCAAGCCACAAAGAAAAGCAGCAAAATGCCCCAGCAGAGGATTATGGGATGGTGCCTCTAGTCAGAGAGGTTAGAAAACCAGGTGATAAGGCGGAGGCCTGAGGTAGAAAGGAAGGGAAGGGGCTTTGACCAGGAGGGGTGAGCTGCGTGAAAAAGAGCAGGAAGCCAATGTCATCAGCATGGGGAGGATGCTTAAAGATAGGTTAGATCCAAATCACTTTAGGTCTTGAAGTCTGTTCTCAGGAGTTTGGATTTTATTATAACTGGAATCTGAAGCCCTTGAAGAGCTGTAAGCAGTATAATTTTAGACAGTTTTCATAATTCACGGATTTGCATGCTCGCTAGCACTTATTTTTAACCCTAAATCAACATTTGAGGCACTTTCTCATTCATTTGTGGGCATGCCACCCTGCAAGTTCTCACTGAGGTCTGATAAGGGGACTCTCTGTCCATAAGTGTCCTTTTTGGGGTATATTTAATGCCATGTTTTCTTATTTTTGTTGGTGATTTTGCTGTTTAAAATAGCTCTAAATGTAGGGCAGAAGTGCTGTCTAGTATTCCTAAGTGCAAGAAGGTTATAACATGCCTTAGTGAGAAAATGTATTAGATAAGCCTCATGCAAGCTTGTCCTTGAGTCAACTGCACTGAATCAGCAACTATATATATACCTACATAGTATATGATCTTTAAACAAAGTAAACAAGGTTATGTATTCAGTGGTTGACAAAAAAGAATGTGACAAGGCTTGTAGGAACTTAGCACAAGACTACAGTGGATTTTTTTTCTTTGAGACAGGGTCTTGGTTTGTAGTTTAGGCTGTCCCTGAGCTTAGGCTGGCCATGAACTTGTGATCCTCCTGCTTCAGCCTCCCAAGTGCTGGGATTACAGGCATTCGACACCATGTCTGGCTATGGATGTTTAAATTTTTAAAAAATTATTGCAATAAGACACATTGCCATTAATTCCCCACAAAATACTCCACTTTGCATCGAACACACTCATCCTAAAGGACCGTAGTTAGCAAGACAGACTCCATATTGCTGCTTGACCCACCTGCCTGTCCTTTAGATGAACTCAGGAGGAGGAAGCTTAGAAACCTCCTCCCCTTAGAAAGTCCCTTTAGAAATAACAATTAATCAACTATTGTTTTACAAATGTTCTAACAGCAGGACGGTCCGCTTCTGTACCTTTCACTTGCTTTGCTAGTTCTATCCCATGGGGGGGGGGTCTAAAAACTGTTGGCCTCAAAGGTGTATAAAACATGTTTGTCTCCCCCCAGTCGAGGCTCGAGTCCCATGCTCGGCTCGGGTCCTGGCTGGTAATAAACTCCTGTGTGGATTTAATATCGGTCTCTGGTTGGTTCTCTCTCCCTGGGTCTAACAATCCCATCATTTCTTCGACTTTCTGAAGCAGTTCTGGAAGTCCTCTTTCATGACTAGTGCCTTTAGTTGCACTGTTGTAGCTGCCTCAGTGTCCTGAATGGATTCAGAGTGTTCACCTTTCACTGTCATTTTAATTTTGGGGAAGAGCCAGAAGTTGCTTGGTGCCAGATCCAGTGAATGAGGCGGATGAGGACACACCATAATGTTTTTAGAAGCCTGCCTTTCTGTTGGATGGTGCTTGGCAGCAATATTCACCATATTTTTTATCATACCTGGCAAAGACATGAAAGGGGATTTCCAGCACTGCTTCAGAAGTGGCAAGAATGATAGCTAGGGGCTGAGGGTGTAGCCCAATGGTAGAGTGTTTGCTTAGTATGTGTGAGGCCTTGGGTTCAATCCCCAGCATCACCAAAAAAAAATATGAATGATGGGATAAGTGTGTTTGAAGCTAGAGAAAATATTCTGAGGGGAATTAATGGCAAAGTGTCTTTTACTGTAATAAAATGTTTTATTTAAACACACACCTGGGCCGGGGATTTAGCTCAGTGCTTTCTCCGCCTGCTGCCCAAGTGCAAGGACCCGAGTTCGATCTCCGATACCAAAAAAAAAAAAAACCCAAACAAAATAAACACATACTGTACCAGGCATGGTGGCACACACCTATAATTCTGCCACTCAGGAGCTTACAGCAGGAGGATCTCTGTAAATTTGAAGCCAGCCTGGGCTACATAGCGAGTTCAAGACCAGCCTGAACTACATGGCAAAACCGTGTCTCAAAAACAAAAACAAAAAAACCCCAAGCGCAAGGACCTGAGTTCAATCCTCGGTACCCCACCCCCAAAATCAATTAAATCATTCAAGGTCTGATAAAAAATAAGGTACGTAGAGGTTTTTGTTTTTTGCAAGCTCAAGGACACAAATTCAATCCCCAGTACCGAAAAAAAAAGATATCACACTTTAAAATCCATTGTGTATCTTAGAACAAATCCTAATTTAGAACAGCCACATTTCAAGGGCTCAATAGCCACATGTGGTTTGTGGCTACTGTGTTGAACAGCACAGATCTAGAAAATTCGTTCATTTATTCATTTTACCAAATAATTTCTCATTCTAGGTCTGGAAATGTACACAATGGAATGAAGCCCAATCTCTGTTCTCAGAGTGCGTAGTCCAGTTAGGGAGTAGCTAATACAGTAGCTAATGTTGAAGACATCAATGTTCTTTGAGAGTTCAGGGGAGGGAGTACCTAGATAAGGCTTCAGAGAGAAGATGGACATTTAAGTGGAAAGTTTATGTGTCGGAGTTCCCCAGGTGCAAGAAGTGGCAAAAGCACTCCAGGCAGTAAGAGCTGCTTATGCCAAGTCACAGAGAAATGAAATACAGAGTGTCTCTGGAGAAATACAAGTAATTCTATATGGCTGGATGACAGGATATGAAGGTCTAACAGACCTTCCTGTGGAACTTAGAATTTATCCTACTGAGTAGGTACTGTAATGGGAAAGTTTGAGAATTTTGAACTGAATGATATCACTAGATTTATGTTTTGACAACTCATTATGGCAGTGTGGAGAGGGTAGAATTTGAAGTCAGAAGACCCCTTGGGAAGGGAAAGGGTTTAGGATGGATTCAGAGGAAAGACCCATGGAAACTAAGAAGGAGGTCAGAGGAAGGAGGGCAGAGTATGGACTAAAAAATGGTGTCTCAGTTTCTTTTCTCATTGCTAAGACAAAATACCCAACACCCAAAGTTAAAGAAGGAAAGGTTTATCTAGCTCACAGTTTGTTAAGGATTCAGTCCGTAATCAGCTGGTTCCAAGACAGGGTGGCATAGCAGACAGGCATCGCAGAGGAGAAACAGTTCATGGTGGGCAGAAGGCAGCAAAGCAACGAAGAAGACAAGCCTCTTTCTGTCCCTTATATTGTATCCAGGCTACCAGGATTAGAGTGGTACCAAACCAATCAGTGTACTGATTTAGTAGTCACACACCCTTAATCCCAGCATCACACACTTTAGATTCAGCCACCTCTGAAAAAGCCCCACCAGGCCGGGGATTTAGCTCAATGGTTCTGCTGCCTGCCTCGCAAGCACAAGGTCCCAAATGTGATTCCCCATACCAAAAGAAAAAAGCCCCACCTATGACTGCATGAGGCTTTGAGAAGACATCTAGACTCAACCATAACAGGTGAAAAGAGTGTCCCACGCAGTGGGGGGTCAAGTAAAACAGCACATGTAAGCCTTACCATGCCAAATGTCATATGAAAATTTGCTAACCCTGTGTAACACACTAAGTTTCAGGGAGTTCAAGAGCCAATGAGAAACTAAAATTTGGTCACAGAACTGAGTTCAAGTCTTAGACTACACCACTTTATGGTATTTTAAAAAATTTTAACAAGAAAAAAGAGATAAAAAGGAGTTTCATAGGGCTGTTGTGAGCATGGAAGGCCTTAGTGCATTGAAGTTACTTCTCATGGTACCTAGCACACAGCTAGCTAGCACTCGATGCAAATGGTGGTTGGGGTTCTCCTGTGATTGCTCTGGACCCTAGTTCCCTCACCTACAAAGCAGAATTGTCACCTTTCTCCTGCTGTTAACAGGAATCAAGGTTAAATATAAAGTCATTATTGGATCCAGCAGTTCCACTCCTAGGAATGTGCCTAGAGAATTGAGAACATACATCTACTTAAAAAATTCACAAATGTACATAGCATGAATGTTCACATTTATGATAGCTGAAAAGTGGGAGCCACTGGCAGACTCTCTCCTTGACCAGCTTTGGTCAGTTTCCTCTGAATTTTCTTCCCAGTTAGACCCTAACTTTTGGGCTTCTGGCTCTCTTTGCCTTGCTTAGTTTTAGAAAGCATCCTGTTAATAAGTAAATCCCCCAGCCTCAATATCTGACTATACTCCTCAACCCACCCACACCATTCCCCAGCTGATTCTAGATCAGCCTGCCTGGCCTGCCTTCAGCAAGAGTCCTGTTAAGTCAAGTTAGCCAGGAATTCCCTACCTCTTAGTAACATTCCAACCACCAGCCATACCCCCTCCCATTCCTTGGCTATAAATCCCCATTTTTTTCTTATCTTCAGAGTTGATCCTGTTTTACTTTCCCCCTATTGCAGTAGTTTCTG